TGGACCCCAGGGAAGCCACCTTTCTGTACCCAAAAGGTAAGGAGACAGGAGGGTGGCTAACTATGTTTTGTTTTTTTGTTTTGCTTATTTCTGATATCACTTTTATTCAAGTGTTGGTGTTTGTAATGTAACACACAGGGAATAAGTACATGTTAAAAATCCTAGAAGAACCTGACAGTTCCCTATTAAATATAAATTTTAAAAGTATTTATTTTAACATATTATTGCATCAAGTGTTATCAAAGGCTGTATACCATTTCCAAATGTCACTTTTGCCAAATTCTGGACCAGGGTATGTAAGAACAGAGTTGAGACATTATTATGGCCAAGGTTGCTGGGAGTTGCTGTCCAAGAGCTGCTAGAAGGCAGAGATTAAAATATGTAAATGTACACATATATGTGTGTGTATATCTGACTGTGTTTGTGTCAGTGTTTGTATCTGGCTGTGTTTGTCTGTGTGTATGTATACCTGTGTATGTGTACCTGTGTGTGTGTATGTATGTATGTATGTGTCAGTGTGTGTAAGTGTGCATCTGAGTGTTTGGTAATGCATACATCCCAGCATTTTAATGCCAACACAAATACACTCCATCTCTAGCACTGTACACATATACACCCCTGCATTTATACCTGGATGTGCCAGTGTGTGTGTGTATCAAAGTGCTTGTATCTGTGTGTCAAATGGTGTGTATCTGAGTGTGTGTGTGTATGTGCCATTATGTGTCAAGGTGTGAGCATGTGTCAGTGTGCCTATGTGAGTATCTGCGTGTTTATGTGTATATGTGTTATAGAAATCACACAACATGCAAACAGAGCCCTGCAAACACAAACATTACATACAAACACACCAGTTTGCTGAAACACCAATACTACACACAAATGTACACAACACTACATCCAAACAACCCCCTGCATGCAAATACAAACATTACATACAAACACATTCCTGTATTAAAACGCTAAAATTATATACAAACACCAACTCTACACACAAAAGTACACCTGCATTTAAAAGCCAACACTACAGACAATCACACATTACTGCATTCAAACGCAAACACTACACACAAGTACACCACTGCATTCCAATGGTAACAGTACATACAAATACACCCCTACATGCACACATACACTCTATACAATAACATGCTGACATTCAATTGCACAAACACTGCTCAAAAATACAACCCTGCAAGGATGGTAGATCCCCACCTGGCATAGCATCGCAGGAGTTGTATGACAGATGGGGATCTATCTTTTCTTTACTCTTGTGCTACAGGGCAGGCCTGAATTATTTTGTTTTTGCACCAAGGCACTCTCTACATTAGTTTCGCCTCTAGGTTGGGGTGGAGGGAGTGATTGCATGCCCAGGGGGCCCAAGCAGATGCTTGCCCAGGGTCCAATCAATATTAAAGACGGCCCTGACAGCACTTCTGATTCTGAGTCTGTGAGTAAGCAGTTATATGTCTCTAAAACTGCCATGATATAGCAAAATTATGCCTCTAAAACTGCCATGTTATGCATCTAAAGCTGATTTCCATGGTGTGCCAATTATATGCTTTTAAAACTGATTGCCATGATGTGCCAATTGTATGCCTCTGAAGCTTATTGCCATAATATACCAAGTTTATGCATCTAAAGTTGATTGCCATGGTGTGCCAAGTTTATGTATTTAAAGCTGCCATGATGTTCCAATTGTAAGCCTCTAAAACTGATTGCCATGATGTACCAATTTTATGCATCTAAAGCGGATTGCCATGGTATGCCAATTTTGTGCCTCTAAAACTGATTGCCACGGTGTGCCAATTGTATGCATCTAAAGCTGATTGCTATAGTGTGCCAATTTTATGCATCTAAAGCTGCCATAATGTTCCAATTGTATGCCTGTAAAGCTGATTGCCATCTAAAGCGGATTTCCACGGTGTGCCAATTGTATGCATCTAAAGCGGATTCCAAGGTGTGCCAACTGTATGCATCTAAAGCGGATTGCTATAGTTTGCAAATTGTATGCCTCCAAAGCTTATTGCCATGGTGTTCACTTTTTAAAATATGCATTAAAAGCAAGTGGGTCTCGAAAAATTACTGTTTTGAAAAGTGGGTCTCGGCCCATAAAAGTTTGGGAATCCCTGCATTAGGCAGTATGTGTGCATGCATTAGGCAGTATATGTGTAATGGGCAGTGTATAGCTTTTCTGCTAGCTGAAAAGTGTTTAGGAGCACTTTTGAACCACTCTTTCTTATAGAACTGCTTCAGCTCATCATTATTCTTAGGATGTCTGGCAGGGGTGGAGCCAGAATAAAATCTCTGGAGGGGCACTGGTAGTGGGCTTTAGCGGGGTGATAGTGGCTGTGGCGGGAGGGATAAGGGGCTGTAGTGTAGAGGACTGTAGTGTTGAGGGTTAAGGGACTGTAGTGGGGGGATAGGGGCTATAAAAGAGATATAGGGGGCTTTAGTGGAGGGTTAGGGGGCTGTAGTGGGGGGGAATAGGGACTGTAGTAGATATATAGAAGGCTGTAGAGGAGGAATACAGGCTGTAGTATACCAAATTGAGCCCAGCGTGTGACGTCACCAGTGCTAAGCAGAGCGCGTTGGCGGAACTAATACAGAGAGGGCTCCTGTTCAAGAAATTATTTTGCCCACCTCCCACCATAACACAATGGTGACAAAGAAAACTAAACCAGGTGGATTTTCTTTGTAGTGGATCTACTTAGATTATTAGGATCATTGTCCTGATGCTTCACTCAAATTGTACTGAGCTTCAGCTGGAACACAGTCTTTCTGATATTATCCTTTAACAAATCTAGATAAACTTTGGCATTTATTTATTTATTCCTTACTGTTAGCAAGTGGTCCCGGGAACAAAGCAGCCCCAAATGATGATGGTCCCTCCATGGTACTTTTCATGCTTGTACATCGTACTCTTTTTACACCATACATAGTGCTGCATGTTCTTCCCAAGCAACGCATCCTTAATTTCATCAGTCCACAAAACATTTTCCCAGTAGCATTGTGTACAGGGCCAGATTTGCCAAAAGGCTACAGAGGCCACGGCCTCAGGCAGCATAACGGTCACCCTCACCAGCCAGACCATTCTCCTTCAGTGGGGCCAAACTGACAGGTAGATCTTCTTTAAACTGGATTTGAAAGAAGCTTATTTTTTCCAAGCCAGTTTTGTGAATTGGGAGTCACTGATTGGTTTGAGAGCATCAGCTGACTGCTCTCAGCAAATAAGTGGCACCCCTGTCCAGCGGCACTCCGGGGTTCCTGAATCAGAAAATTCAGAAGCTGAGTGCCACCTTGGGGAGAGTGGACATCGCCGCTGGAGGCAACTTTAGGGTTAAACTGTTTAAGAACAGTTTAGCCCCTTGAGGTAAGGGTGCCTCCCGGCACTATGACAATTTTATTTAGATTAAGTTGTTTTGGTATTTGAAATGTCCCTTTAATATTAGATGTTATATGAGCTGACTATACATTGAAGGATAGCCTCTTGGAGCAGTTTAAGCAATGTGTGCTGCAGTTATTATGTTCATCTTCCACGTTGAAATTAGATTGGACCCACAAATATTGGGATACTTTAAAAAAAGAGATGGGCTTAAAACAGTATGGTCCTTTGTATGAACTAATCCCACAGGCAGCTCTAAATTTAGTAAGGCCTTGATCAAAGATAAAATATATTTTTAAAACCTCCACTATAACAAAAAAGAAAATAATCATCTTTTAGCAGCTCAAGAAGACCAATCAAAATTAGGGCAATATTTTGTATATCAGCAGCTTTACAACTGATAATACTGTGTAACACACACAGGACATAAGCTGAGCACCAGTGATCTAATAAAACTAGACACAAGAAACTGCATCAAGAGGGAGTTAGACCTGCATACAAAATGACTACAAAGACAGGAGAGGAAGGAGAACTCAGATTCAACCCACCTTGCATTATGACTCTGGGTGTCCAGAACTGGCTAATATAGATTCCATGGTGGTCCAATAGGTGATTGTATGGTGTTGACCTCCTGCTAGTGTAGACCAGAATATTTGCTCCCCCTGGCTCTGCTCTCATTGTGAGTCAAAGTACAGGTTGGATATTTGAGCGGCTGTGCTCTGACTCACTAGCAGAGTGTTGGAACTGTGAGGGAGAGAATATATGGTCTTCACCAGCAGGAGGTGCAGACCACACAATCCTCCTCCAGACCACCATTCAAATTCAGCAAAATGTTAAAGGAACACTATAGTCAGGAACACAAACATGCCCCGCTTATACACCGAAATATAATAAAATATTACTTTTATTCCAGTTTCCTGGTGCTGGCTCTGTCTGTGATCTGCCTTCTTGGCTGACATTATCAGAAGCGTTTCTCTGAAAAGACAGCTTTTACCGCAAAAAGTCTGAATGGAATGATTATACTTACTAGAACAAATACAATAAGCTGTAGTTCTTCTGGTGACTATAGTGTCCCTTTACATAAAAATTGTCTTTCAGTAACAGCAATGGTTTGTGCACCTGTATTGGTTGTGAGTGATCGTTCACAACAATTTGCAGTTGAAGCAAGATTCTTGAGGTGGTGAGGCAATCACATTTTTGGCCCAAATTCCCTTTTCCAAATCTATATAATTATAAGTGAGATTATTAGGTAGCCTTGAAATATTTGAATTATTATATTTGCATTATGCAATATTTTTGCATATTCTACTTACCAGATGCCATTTTTAATAGCTTGAGGGCATGCTGTCAGGGTGAACAGATACAGATCCGCTTCCTGTGAGAACATGAAAAAAACATATTTTACATTTCTTGATAAAGTGATAAAGACTCCTTAATCTCTGTGATTATAGAGTCTGTAATCTCTGTTGCAGTTGCAGGCCTAGCATGCCGTGCATTAAACTACATTAGCTTTATGACCTCCATTTGAGGTGAAGGTGTTTACAAATGCAGTATAAGTCCAGACTCTCTCTTGCAGAGTTAGATGACATGAAGTGCATGCACATTTTATTTTCCACCCCTTCAGTGGATGTTTAACTCTGTTGGGCTCTATTCCTCTGGACTGGATATTCTTTACCAGTCTCAGGTTTCTATCATCAGCTCGGTTTCATTCTCCTGCCTGATCAGTTACCAGATCAAGAGACCAATATATCCAAGAAGAGTCTCCTTTAGTCCTGTGCAGCATCTTCTTAGCCGTCACTTTACACGTTCTCTTCCATTTTTAGCAGTAATTCTCTATTCTAATATTCTGTACTAGAATTCTTGAAATTGGTTTTCACTACCTCTCGTCTGACATGAAGCAACTCTGTGTTCTGCTCATT